ATTGTAAAATAATACGCATCGAGTTTGAGAATCATGAAAGTAGGAGCTCTAAACTAATGGTTTATATTCCGGGCAATACACAAGTCTTGTGGAATTCAAATTTTCACATGCACGCTCTAACATTGGCAAGAGATATGCAGAATTTGGCTACACAGCTTGGTATACCCAAGAGCGAAGATGCTACCAGTAAGAACAAAACAAAGAAGAGTATAATCATTGAAGTATCGGCTGAGCGTAGCTCTATATTTGAGCTTAAACTATCAGATCGTCATAGTATGCAATTGTTTTTCGAGAATTTATTCTTTAGGCATAAGGATGACAATTTCATCTCGGCTGAGAATATTTTTATCAAAATTGATGATCAGCACATATTTACTCTAAAAGACGTAGATGTTCATTCGTTGCCAAAGCTGGATATGTTAACACTTGCACGTGTCAATTGTGAAGGGTTTTTGTTACCATGCAATAAGGTATGGGTGACTACAATCGGAGTGTTTAAGGTAAAAATAAATGGATTTAAAAAATTCGTATATTTAATATTGTATTATATTAAATTAGGCAATATTTCCCTATGACCATGACTTTTATGATGCCATCAACAACCAATTCGTTTCTCACTTTAAGTGGCTAAAAATGGTACACAATTATAAGAAGAAACCATTCACAGCGAGTTCACCATTGCCAAGTGACTTAGTAATACAGGTATGAAAAAACAACTTATATATAATGCTCTAAAACTCTCTTAGGCGGATACTTATAGTAAGGAAAGGTTCTTCTTTCACGTAGGATCTGTGTCGAGAAAAAATACAGCTCTTTGAAATGATGCGAAGAGAAATTTGTATTGTTATTAAATTTGTAATAGATGTTCGTTAGGAGAGTTTTGGAGAGAGTTTTAACTGTATATTAAATAACTAATTTTAATTAATGCTATTTTAGATTAAAGAATTCTTACTTGAAATTAGCGATGATCCATTTGAAGTGAAATTACGTGATAATTACGTTTTGTTGTTAGATGAGTATTTGGAGAGTTTGAAACGTAGAGCTCTTTTCGATAAAAAAATTGCCGAGCGTTGCTCAGAAAGACTTTTGGTACCTGCTGGTACTATTGAGAGTCTTCTCGCAAATTTAGTCAAAAAGAATTCAGAGATTTATATACAACGGTCTAAAAAAATCAATGAGAAAGGACCTGTGCGAACGCGTCTTCTAGCTTGGATAATGACTGATGTGGAGATTATGGCAATGGCTGATCCCTCAATACATGGTACAGAAAATGTAACGCGTATTATGCGTGATATAGACTCTGAAAGTCCATGGCCGGAGGAGGGCTTAGAATTCACAACACTGTGGTGCAGAAGTATCAACGTTAGTTGCTCTGAATGGAAATTCATGTTAAGGTAATTATCAATAAACTACTTATTAATTAAGGTATTCGTATTAAAATAAAAATTATAATACTCAGTATAAAAAAATGTTAAATATACTTTCTTTGAATTCTATAGAGATTTTCCGCAGCCTATGTTCTATGTAAAAGCAATGCGTCTTTATGGCAATTTGTGTGGTGCTGAACAGGTTGCATACAAACGAGCTAAACGTGATGTTTTAATAGAAGTTGGTCATCCTTTTGAAACCGATGTTGTGCAGCGCAGCATGACGTCATTAAAGTTTTACCATGACTTTGATTGCGAGTTGGAGTGTTGTAGTTATGCTTTTGGCCCTTGCTGGGAGCCTGTGATGGCGCAATGTAATCTTAGTTTTGAAAAAATTTCTGCACCGTCTAAAGATCCAAGTCCAGCACTACCGTTTTGGGATAAAATGCGTTTACTGTTTCATGGTCGCTTGACGATGATTGTGAAGCAATTTACAGTATTACTGCATGCTTCACTTGATCCCTACAATACAACTGAAGAAATGGAACTAACGTGGAACAATGCTGGTATTGTTTGGACAAATGCAAAAATTATGTTTAAAGGCGAGCTTAATGTGAGTAATATTTATATTTGAATTTATAAGTTAAGTTCTATATTAGTTGTTTTATTTTATTACAGGTAACTGTGCGCACAGCTTCACGCTATGATGATTGCCGTTTATTACATTTTCCTAATTTAAAACTTACATTTAAATTGAATTGGGTTTGTTTGGCTAATCCCAACGATCATCATGCAGTTATGCCATGTGCACCTGACAAGTTGCCTGAATATTCTAGCAATCAAGAACATGATTCTTTTCGCGCATTCCGCTCTCTCAATTTGAATATTTGGATATCATTTGAGACCAAACCAATTCCAGGTGATGAAGTTGAACTCGATATACCTAGTTTATTATTATATGGAAGTACTTTACGTTGGTTTGAGAGTCTGAAACTTATCTTATCGGGTGTTACTCGACCGACTAGGCGTGGTCCTGTTTTTAATAATGTGCGTCCACGCAAAAAGCAACTAAGTCGGCATTATAAAAAAGCCAATTTGCAAATGAGTTTACATCGCTTTCAAGTTTTGTACTGGATGTCACATGCTTTGCATAAGGGATTTCAGTTAAATGGTGGACGAGTTTCGTTTAGTTCAGAATATAGTCTATCACTTTCTCCCATTGAGGATGGATTAATTCATAGAGATCGTGCAGATTGGTCTACTGTGTATATGAATTGTGAACTAAATGATGCAGAAATATGGTTAAAGAGCATACTAACGGAGAAACTAGACAGTAGTTCTGAAAATCTTGCTGCAGATGCATTCAAAATTGTACGTTTTTACTTCTTAAGCGTAGCTAAAGTATCTTACGGACGTGAAGCTGCTTTGTATACAACAACTAACGAAGAGGAAGCGAAAACAAAAACTTCAACGCCTACACATAAATTAGTGGTTTACGATTTGAAAGGTGCTTGGACAAAAAATAATCGAGACGTTGCTTTTGCACTTTTTGATTCTTTTATGAAGTCACAAAAACTAAAGAATAATCTTTCGACCGAAGCGGTGAAGAGCTATCGAAAAGAAGGAGCATCGTCTTTCATAAAAAATAAACGTAGCGATAGCACAATAACTTTAGCTAATAACACAGCCGAAGGAATACCCAGTAAGTTTTATTCGAATTCTAAACTAAATTCTTGATATAAATTATTATTTTCAATAGAGAGGTTTTTACCGAACAGTAGTGAAATTGCAACAACAAAAATTTTTTTATTTTTAATTCTATATATGTTTGTACTTTAATCTCTGTGGTTTTCTTGTAGTGGCTGCTGGTAATGCAACTTTGAAGAAACCTCAACCCGCTAGTCATGCAACTGCAATGTTGCAGCAATTGATTGCAGAGGCAGATCATAAATTTAATGTTTACAGTGATGATCAAAATACGCAATCACGCGAATTGCAATTACAGGGCTTACAGGCTTGTTGTGCACTCGACGTCATACACGAAAACTGGTCAATATCACTGGTGAATTCTCAGGTACTCTTAAAAGGCTGTGAAACCTCAGGTTATGTTATAATTAGTGCTGCGAAAGCAGAAATTTTGCAACGTGTGCATCGACCTGTATGGCGTGATAGATCTTTGATATCAAAGACAACTTGGAAGGGTCTCTTGGAATGCATGCAGTACTACGCCACTGTTAGCGCTGGCGAAAACGATTCATTATTAGAAAAAGAGATTATGTGGTTGACTGTAGATAATATACAAGTAATATTTAACATTATAATTTTTTTTCTTGTACTTTTGTAACAATAACTTTTTATCATTAGGATAAAGATGATACTGTTATACATGATTTGCCGGATATACCGCACTTGGTGGGTAGTGGACGAAGTGTGGGTGGTGTTGTCTCAGAAACTGTGGGTGCTGCGTCAATTGAACATCCTGGTGAAACGCAACCAGTGCAATTGCAACGTATTGTATCACGTTGTAAATGTGAATTTTTTTATGTTAGCTATGGTGACACTATTGATCCTAATTCCATAACTGAAGTGCCACCACCGCCATCTGAAGAAACGCTTTCACCTTGGGAGAAACAGGATGATCCTGTAGATGCCTTTACGCTTATGCATCATGATTTAGATGTGTGTACGAACTCACTTCAGTATGCTATGATATTGGATATTGTTAACAATTTATTACTTTATGTGGAACCACAACGCAAGCAAGCGCTGGAAAAACTCGCAAGAATGCGCTTTCAATTACAACTGCATTCAAGTGAAGATCAAAAACGCCCCATACAACAAAAACAAACACTTATACGTAGTTTGTTAATGAAAATACGTTCACTGGAGAAAGATATACATTTGATCAGTAAAGAACGCGCTGAAGAGGGCGATACACTGGAGTTAAAGCTTGAATTTGAAAGGGTGCAAAAACAAATACGAGAAAGTAAAGAGGAGTTGAATACATTAAGTGAAGAAATAGACATGATGTTACTCTGTTACAAAGAGACCCAACTATCTCAACTTAGTAAAATATCAAATGTATGTATTTGTGTATATAAAATATTTTTTTTTTAAAAAATTTTATTTATTGTATATAATAATTGTTTCTTAATTTACAGGTACGTGCTGATAAATCTCTAACAATTGTACGTGCAAATGAAATTTGTTTTAAGCGCGCTCAATGGCGTCTAACTGAAACTGATGGACAGATCGGTATTGCCGATCTGGTGCTTAGTGGTTTCTTGTATACCAAAAAATCGAAAAGCGATGACTCAGTGGAACATTTACTAGAATTAGGAAATATACGCATGAGTAATTTAATACCACGTGAAATATATCGTGAAGTCATAATGCCAACAGAAATACAAAAGGATATGCCAGTGGATACGCATAAACGTGTGTTGCGCATATTTTGTCGCGAAAAACCACCTGTAGGTGGAATATCGGTAAAGGAACATTTTGAGATTAATGTGGCGCCTATTACTATAGCAATAACTAAGAAGTTTTACAGCACAATGTTAAAATTTTGTTTTCCTGATCGCGACGCTCTAGAAACTGAAACAAATGATGATATTGAAGAGAATTCCTCCGGTTCCTCTACCTCTTCTAGTGTGCAGTCTAAATCGGCTAAAAAGACTGCGAAAGCAAAAAAAAGTTCCAAAGACTCAGAGTTTTATGTAAAAATAGAAAAGGATGATGTGGAAAAAATGAAGGAACGCGCCGAGAAGAACAAATTGTTTATATATATTAAAATACCTGAGGTACCTGTGCGTGTCAGTTATAAGGGAAATAAAGAAAAAAATCTCGAAGATATAACCGATTTTTCGCTAACAATACCAACATTGGAGTACCATAACGTTACGTGGACTTGGTTAGATTTATTATTGGCTATGAAATCTGTCAGTAGGCGTGTTATCTTATCTCAGGCTATTAAACAGAAATTACAAATACACCGGCGACAACCGAATACTCTAGCAGGAGAACGTACCTCACCACAAGAAGAAGATAAAGCAAGAATGCTTTTTGGTAATCGCTTAGCGGTGAGTTGTTTGACTATATTAAAATTAGTTTTCACATATAATCCCAATAAAATGAGTGTTGTTCCCTTTATAATGAAGGGATTTTTCAATCTCAACAAAAAAAGCTTTCGAAATGGTTATTACCTTTAAAAGTTTTAGAGTAGGTATTTAAAATGAAATAAAACTGGCCATCTCCTTAATTCCCTTTGAATACAGAAATATCTTTGTCTTATATTTAAGCGGCTTTATACTCTTCTGGGAAAAGAGGATGGTAGAAAATGGAGAACAAATAGTAGGACGCGTGGATAAATATGAGTAAATATATCTTGCAATATATTGTAGCGAGTCAAAAAGAGAGCACAAACGCTGTTGTTTCTACTTCAGACACCTATTTTTATATGAATTACGTTTTGATAAATCTATGATTCGATATTCCGCAAGCAGGTTTGGATACCTTTCCTTTGTTGATTCAGAGTTTATACGGAGGCATAACACCGCCATTTAAACAAGAAAACCTCTGCTGGTCAAGAACAGGTTATTTTAACAAGTTTCTATGTTCATTACACAATATCAACAGACATCAGTGTCGGAAATAATCAATTTATTCAAATGATACGTTAGGTTGCAGTGACCTGTAAAGTAAACGCGATTAAAATTCTTAACTCTACCTTATTTAGCGAAAGCATGTTATTTGATATTCCCTTTGCAGGGATGAGAAATCTTTTTGATTGTCGTTTGTCTACGCTATTTAAAGCGTACAGAATCAATTAAAGCCATTTGAAGTTAAAAGTATTGGTAAAGGTGATAAATATATCAGTAAACTATTTTAATGTATTGGTTTGATATTGTCTTTATTGGTATGACTTACCCTCCCATGTCGTGATGAATTATCGTACAGAGCCTATAAAGACAGATTACAGTGAAAGGAAATGGCTGTGATAATGAAAATATTGTTTATTGAACCAAGTTTATTGTATTTATTTTAGTGCTGAGTTTTTATTGATAACCACTAGTATTTTATTTATTAATTTTGATACTATTGTTGTAATAAGTTGAAAAAATCGATGGGTCAGAAATAAAAATGAATTTCATGACAAATGTGGGGTATGAAATGGAATTTGGATGGAGGTTATGAAACGGTGAAAGACAAAATGTAGATGGCTGGTGCGGTGGCAATTAAAACAAACTGATGAGTCATGTATTTCTCTATGCTCGATGCCATTGAAGGTGATAGGTTAGCTTTGACCCAATTTAGTTTCAATTAATATCCCACCAATCTTATTCCCGCACAATTCGCAGAACTCTACTTTCACAATTCCATTACTCAATCATATCCTAACCTATGTATTAGTAATTGTAAATCCTTTTATGTTGTTTATCATATTACACTTCACGGGTTATTACAACAACAACATTAGTCATAAATTGATAATGTTTAAATTCGGCTTTGTAGTGTGTCACTAAAACAGATAAGCCATAAATTAATGAGGTTCAAGTTCGTGTTTATAGTAGGTTAGGTAGGCATCTTCATTAGAAGTAGTGTTATATATAATAATTATAATTCTTTGTTAAATATATTTAGATCTATAAAAGAACTTATAAAGTAATTTTATCATAATTTATAACTTCTTTAAAAAAAAACATTAAATATAATATTTATTTACTATTTTACATATTTCAATTTTTATTTATTTACTTTTTTTTTTTCAGAGTGAAAATCGCAGCCAAAGAAAGGGAGTTTTTAAATTTGCTTCAAGCAACAAATGACGTCAAAACTAACACTGAATTTATTTAAAATACTAAAGGAAATTATATGAAATTAAAGTATTATTTATATATAACAAAAAAGTGGTCAAAGAGACAAAAATATTTAAGTAATTTAATAAAAAAAAAATAGTTGTACATTTTTATTGTATTCATGTTAAACTCCGTAATATTTTTATATTATTTTTTTTTTTGTTTTGTTAAAAGTTTCTTACACTATTTTACAGCTTTTATGTTTTAATTTTTATTGGAAAATATATATATACATATATTTGTATCTCTATTTATTTAACAATTATATGCAGTAATAAAATGTCGTAAAAAACGCAATTATACAAACATTTTCATATTTTTATTTAATATTTGTTTTAAATACAACATCGAAAATCTATTTGAAATAATTTCTGATATACAATATTTGAAATATTTAACTGCAAAAACATTACGAAAACAACAACAACAAATAACTTAATAATACATATTTCTAAACATAATTTATAAAACTTATGTTTATAGTTGTGTTATCGTTAGTTTGCAACAATTTACTAAAATTTGCTACACTAAATACAATAATAATTTACAAATATGGGATATAATGCTTCTTGGCTTATTGCTGAGTTTGCCTTCCGTCAACTAATTTGTGGCGAAGATTAAATTATTTATTCTGTTGCTTTAGTGGGGGCTATAGTAAGGAATTATATTGAATTAGTTTAAATTTAATTTGAATTTTAAATTATAGGGCCTATTTACACTATCATGAACGTAACATGAACATGAACATGAAAACCGGTAACCGATAGATGAGAGAGGGAAGAGAGTGTGGTGCTAGTTCATGAATTTCACGCAATGAAATTTGTTGCGTTTCTTCAGCTTGACACACATACATATGGAATGTTATGTTTATGTTTACCTTTTAATGCTGAATACTCTCAATTTCTACACTACACACAAGCATTTTATACGTTCACACAAAACAAAACAAATTTCACGTTGAACTGACAGTTCATGTTGTCGTCAAGTTCATCTCACGTTCATGATAGTGTAATTAGGCCCATGGAGTAATTGGCATATACTTACCAATATGAACACCTTTTTAGGCATGGAATGTTGCACCAATTCACTAAGTAAAATATTTTGCGACTCATCTTTACTAGGATCCGTTTGAGTATTATATTCTAAAGTTAATTCCGGAAGATATTGCCATCCAACAAGAAGTGGATACAGATTATATACAAGTTCCTTTTCACCAAACGCAAATATGGAGATATCAAGCTATATTATACAAAAATATAACAATATTATTACTACATATACAACAATAATGTGTAATATAATAATTAAAGGAAAGAATATTGAAAAAGATTTTTTATAATTCATTTATATTATATAGTTCTTTAAGAATTTTAACTTGTTTAGAGTTTAGCTTTTAGCCACTAGAGATCAAATTGTTAAATTGTTTAACATGTGTTTAGAACATGAAAGATTTTGATTTAATCAATAAAATATGTTTACTATTATATTTCACGAAAAGAACGATGTTAAATCCAATCTCTTTTAATACTATGGTATTTATATATTTTATATATTCATATTTATTTCATGTTTCATATTTTGTTATTGTAATTTGTTTACAAAAAAAGAGTACTAATTTAACCATTCTTGTGTAAACATCAATTTTAAGTGGTAAAATTTAAAGTAAAATAAAGTTTATTTTATTTTTTGATTATTGACTGTAAGTCGATTTAACAGACGATGCTTTAGACCTTACAAGCTGTAAACTTATAGATCTACTGAACAAACTCCTGACAATAATACAATTCTACCAAATTCTACCAGTCATGAGGCTAATGACTTTTGAATCTGGCTGGATGATTCGATTTGCCGATATCGTGTTGATCTGGGTTTTAGGTCATAGAATTATTAAGGTAACTAAAAACTCTGTAAAAAGTAAATTTACTCGACTTAATAATTCCATTAATATGTCATTAGGATTAGTAATTAACGTCCTCCTGGTTAATATCACCTGGATGTGCCTCAAATATCTTAAGTTAATCAAATCTATGTGGAAGTTATTTAATATTCGATTTAACATTTGCACCATAAGAGTAGGTTATGACAACTAGGCAGGTATTGCGTTGATACCACATGTGTCACTGTAGTTTTCTCAGGTTAAGCAGTTAAGGAAGTTCAAACAATTTTTTTGTGATTTTCAAGCTATGTTTATCAGGTAGGTTAAGTTTTTGGAAAATGCTTTTTCAGCAGTCTGTTAGACTACGTAGGTACAAACGATCTGTTTTAATTCAACAAGATGTATATCGATTTATCTATTGTGATAAATGAGTTATAACAACGGCTAATAATCGCTAATTATAAAATAGTACATGCTGATGCCACTATAGCCAATAAAATAGTCATGACTTTTGAATATACTAACCGATTGGTTTAACAGCCATTGCTTATAAGACACGTTCTAAACTATAGTTCTAAACTTAATTTCGAACTACTGTTGGTACTATCATTATAGTACCACTATTGTTTTCTCACTAAATGCTTTCATATCTCATTATTTTCAACTAGCTTTCTCCGGGCCCTTATCTTTAAAGTTTGAATATTATCGTCAATATCTCGTTTTCATTGTTTATTCGGAAGTTCAGTCCTTCCACCGCTTTGTAGTAAAATTTTCTTCCTCTCAAAATGTTATATAAAATAACACAAAATATAATATATTAGGTGCTCGATTATTCAAATCTTAGTCATTGTTTGAATATTGAATATCGGTGTTAATAGATGATTAACAATATATAGGTTTTTAAATCAAATCAAGAAAGAATTTTTAACCATTTGTAAAGAGATAACGTTAACGAATGATTGGATCGCAAGCATCAATGATAGGTATGTACTTTCCGATAAATCTATTTTGCGAATTCTTGAGTAAAAATATCTAAAAAATTTGGTTCAAATTTTTCTAGTTATGTAGGTTCTCTTAATATACATTTTTTAAGTACTTGTTTACTAATTGCAATAAGTTAATTGTTAATAGATCATTTTTGTGCAGTGGAATCAAAAGTGTGCTTAAAATTTTTGAGAATATTTTGCTAGTCATTACAGAGTATTGAGACTAATAAATCTATTTAAAAGAATAATAGTTTAATAATGTGTATTACCCAAATGTACTACGTTCATAGGACAATCTTTATCATCGTTGTTTAGTCTATTTTTGTAATGAAGTCTAATAACTATATATAGATCTTCGGTGCACGCGGGTTTTAGTTCTAGTGAATACTAGTGAATAAGCTAAATACCTAACAGTGCTATTACCCTGCGCAATGGAATATCTATTAACAAGAATATGCTAATGTATTTTCTGATCAAAATTAAAAATTAATTTGTTTTCTCTTACCTGTTTATGACCGGAGCATATAAATGAATCAGCATGATTCAAGCTTAATGTCGCTATCAGGTGTATCACTTTAGGTGTGGGATTTTTTAATACAATTTTGAATGTAACTGGCATTTTGACAAACATTTTCTCTTCAATTGTACAGTAAATATTAAGTGGTGGATCGTGTACTTCAAAACCACTGACAACAAATTTTGATTCATTTTCATCCTTGCTGCCATGACGCTTCCATTTAATACAATATACGCCGAAAATCGGCACATTCTGCTGTTGGATTTGCGTCTGCTGCAACTGTTGTAGTTGTTGTTGCTCAAGAGTAACAAGACCCTTGATGAAACCTCGACAGTGTCCTGTTGCTTGTATTGCATCCATTGCTTTATTATAAATTAAACGTGATTGCAGTAATTTTGGTGATTGTTCCGAATCTACATTTGTTGTTTGTGTCTTGCCTTCATCAGATATAGTTGAGGAACTCATGATGGAGTTTTGACTTCCTACCATTAATGCATTTGAACTGGCAGTATTATTTATTATTGTCATGTTTGTGGAGATTTTTCCTAATAAACTCTTACTCATATTTAATTTACCAAGAGCATTGCTATTAGACATATTTTCGATTTTGTTTAAGCCCGCACCATTTGTTCGACTTATGCGCATATGGCTGAAAATATTTGGTTGTGGCTCACTTTTCCTTCGTTCAAACTCCTTCGCTGTTATCCAATCACTTAACACAGCATCAGTTCTTAACACAATAACATCCTCTAATTTATCACCCTTTCGGTAAGTATTGGTATACTTTTTTCTTTTAAAACTATAAGTTGATTGCACTAAATTATGATCCTTAGAAGAGAAGAACAAAGTGAGTTCATTAATAATTGAAAACAAAATATTAAGAAATAATAAATACGTAATAAATAATAAATAATAAAGAATACGGAAATTTTTGAAAATAGCTTCTAGAACTAGGAAATTGCGGTCCTGGAGTCAATCCATGTACAAAATCGGTTCCAGAATCCCTGTACAAGACTATTTATTATTGGAAAAAGACAAGGATCTTTTGTTACACTTTTATGAATATATAATATTTGAAAATCTGTTAAAGTTTTATGTATATCGTATAAGACAATCTGATGTAACTATAATTCCAAACTATAAGTCTACAGGTTAGAGTTACTAATAACTTAATACGTCCTTGGAATCTTATATGTTTAATGCCTAACAAATACTTAAATTGTGGATATATCTATTTTTTACAAGCTGGTTTTTGTCTACATTTTGAAAACTTACGACGTAGACAGAATTTAGGCTGCTGTCATAATAAATGACTTTGATATTCTGAGAGTCTGTATTTAGCTTTCTTCCTTGTATAAATTTACACATTTCTCTATAGTTGTGGTAATAATTAGAATATTGCTTGAAGATTCAATCTTACTAGTATATCAACTTAAGTTGGTTTTAAAGTGTATTTTACAGTTGGAACTAATGATTTGACATATGATATAATATTATTAGAAATATTTAATTTATATTTTTTAGTTTTATACTTTTAAAAATTATGATAGAAGCTTACACAAATAAAGTAGGTTTCCAATATATCAACATCCTGTTCCGTCTGTACTTCAATATTAGCACGAAGCAAAAAATTTTCACCCCGATAAATTTTTGTTAATGGTTTTCTATTGAGTGTATAAAATCGACCAGAAAATTTAAATTCTGGATTACAGTGTATAGTTAAAGTATCTTCTCGTGTCTTTCGCAACCTTCTATCATTTATTATATCAATTTGCACCGGAGATAAAACCTTTACGGGCGCTAAGTCATTCGTGATATTGCGCGCATTCTCTGGGGAATTATCAGTACTTGTTGGTGTTGTGCTATCGGCAAGTGCAATGGATGGCATTGCTTTCGGTCGCATAACATCTAATGTGTAGCACATTTTTTGTTGTAATGTGATTGTTGTTTCTATTAGACTGAATACATAAAAATTAGCTGTATTTGAGCTATGCATTGACAGTTCTCCGATATCGATTTGTATCTGCGAATGTAATTTTTGACGATTTGCTGATATATCCGTTGTAAGAAATACTGAAATTTAAAAAAAAAGCATTTAATAATTTAGAAAAATATATATATATAATTATAATTTTTTTAATTAATTTTTTTCTTAAAAGAGAGCACTTAAAATAACAAAAATATAAAAATTGACTGGAGTTAGATCTAATGCACAAGACTCTAAATGAGTGTTAGGACTTTCAGACCTTTGCTGCAGTTACGAGGACGAGGATGAGTAAAATAAACGCATTGTATTACGTTGCTGTTCTAATTTCATATCTTCATTTTATTTATTTGATTTATATTATACCTAATAACTCAATGGAACAAATTTATGGAAGAATCGAAAAATCGAAAGAATTTTTAAAATACGGAAGAAGAAAATAATTGTAATAATAATCTAAGTTAAATAGATCTAATTGTGTGGATGAAAATTGACAGCGTTATAGTCGTGCTTTAATATTAAGAATAATAAGTACGAGAAAATGTTAGTACGTTTAGACTAAGATATGATAGAAGCGCTAGGAAGCTGAGAGCGTGGTCGTAAAACCACGCTAACTGAAATACCTATATATTAATTGCTACAAAAAAGGTTACAAGAGTGAACCGCTATCAATTTGAAAAATTGGGAGACCACAATGGGTGCTATTTAACATATTATCAAGAGATGAAAAGAGGTTAAAATTTTTTACTGGAGTTCAAAATATGATACTCTTTTTGGAAATGAAAACTGAAATCGTACATCTGATATTATACAAATTATTTCTTTTGCTAAATAAAAACACTTGTATCTATCTGATCCAGTTCTTAGTTCTTAGAGGCGGCATTATATTTTATTGCTGGGCTTGAATTGCATTATAATTTTAAAACAGTCAAATGAAAAAAATTTTTTCAACGAGAAATTTTTCTAAAGGTAGTACTTTCTTCTTTTATTGCATTCAGCTTCTTAAATCAGTTTTTTTTACTATAAATTTTTTTTAACCATATAAAAAGAAGTGGGGCAATAGGTGTTCTATAAAGATGTATTTTTTATTTTTTATTCTATATATTATACCATAGTATGTTATTAAGTGTTATACGTTTTGCTTCTGCCGATTATGTGGTGGTAACTAAAAACCACTTTTGTGTCAATTTCCTAAATTTGAACTAAGAAAATATGAACTTCTTATTCGATCTTTCATGGAATGGCTATATGGTTTTGAGTTATATAAAAGGAAAATGAAATCAAAAATTCATATTTATTCTAGTCGAAATTGGATGAATTCTCATTTTTTATACAGTTATTTACCAAGATAATTATAATTTGGAATTGAAACTTAGTAGTAAAGTATCACATAAATTAGGTTAGGTTACTTTGGCAGTCAGTAAAATTGATTAAGTCACTTAGACCAGACGGTCTATTGTAATACCATTACTTAACACGGAATCTTTACTCTTAAGTAATATGCCATGATTGAATATAAACATCACTAAGGAAATATTGAACAATTTGGTTACATAGTAATTTATTATATAATGATTATTTACATATTGTATATATATTTTTTTTTAACACGTAAATTAGTTGATTATATAAGTCACACCTTAAACCCTGCTGACATATTTATATACGAATTAATAAAATTATTTTAGATGACTATTGTACTTGTCATAATGTCTTCGTGCTCGTTTAGCAATATTGATTTATCGTTTTTTCCAACCATGGTCTCACTTCTTTTAAGCTCGTATAAACACCAGGATAAGCAACACGAGCACATCCTCTTCCCCAAGATACAATTCCGTATTGCCTTCCTTGATATACCGTTGGACCGCCCGAATCACCTTGGCATGTGTCTCTACCTGGAAGTGTAGCGCAAAAAGTTGTTTTACTGACAAAATAATCACTAAGCGCACGTTTACACGATGCTTTTGATATAACTTCAATTGAGGCACGTTTCAATTGCACTGATGGAACCTTAGAGCTTTCCTTAGTCTTGCCCCAACCGAATATATTTATTTTGGTGCCTGTACTTAAACTTGAGTAAGAGATCGGAATGGTCTCAATTCTTCTATCCTCAATGGTTTTGTTTAACACTAAAATTGCCACGTCATAATGTTGTGCACCATTTACATCTCTATATGCGTCTGGAACAAGTGCTCGGCGTACTTTAGCTATTACACCAGTTTCTGTTAGGTTTGTCACTCCAGCTTGTATTAACATTTTACTTCTTTCAACTTTATATGCACAATGTCCAGCAGTTAGGACACATGTAGGACTTATTAGTGAACCACCACAAGCAAACTTTCCATCAAGGCGTAAGTTAACCATGTAAGGAGCTCGCGTTATATCAGTAACTTGACCACCAACAATTTTATTGACATCGTCGATATCATGTGTAATTTGACTTAAAGTTAAGATAAGTATATTTAAAACAATTAGAATTGAAAATTTAGAAGTTAACATCTTCAACATCTTGTAACTAAAAACACAAAATCAAAATTGTTGATCCAATGTACGGAGTGTTTGAATTTATAGCGTTTTAGTGAGGAATATCTCAAGCAACAGTAAGGTCAAAGTCGAAAAAAAAAACACTTGTGAACTGAACAAATAGTTCTCGACATTGGCATCATTTAAAGTTTCCAAATGTTCAAATTGTCATTAGAAGATCGTACTTCATTGAGTTGTAAACTGTTAGCATGCTTTCAGGGTTACGCAGTTCTCTATATATACGAGAGCATAAATATGAGAACGGCTTACTCCGGCTTACTACATAGTTCGAGATATGTATGAGTTTCTACTGAGATTACTTTTGCTTAATGGCAATGTAACTGACATTTCTGAGCAAAATACCAATTCAACAAATTTATCAAACTCAACAGCAGTACTACCACTAGTACGTACACCTCGAATTATTGGTGGCTATGCAACAGACGCAGTACATCTACCGTATTTGATTAATATATCGAAATTTGGAGTATTTACGTGTGGAGGTGCACTGATAACACAAAAATGTGTGATTACTGCTGCACATTGCACAAAAGATGCTGTGGCAAGTGACTTTAGTGTACGTGGTGGTATTACATATCTGAGCGAGAAAAGGAACATCCGAAGAGTTCGACAGTTTTTTGTCTCACCATTATACGACAAAAAGGCTTTGGATTACGATGTTGCTATACTTCAATTAAGTTCACTTCTAGAAGGCAGAGATATTGAAACCATACAATTGAGTGACAAAAATATAACCACAGGAGAGTACATACGAATATCGGGTTGGGGGTTGACAAAGGAAGGGGCTTTTAAACCTGCAAATAAAATGCATACCGTAAAAGTACGTGTTATACCTCAAAATGAATGTATGGAATTGTATAAGGGATACAGAAATATAAGTGATGCTATGTTCTGTGCGTCTGTTCCTGGTAAAAAGGACGCTTGCTCTGCGGACTCTGGTGGGCCTGCAGTGGCACATGGAGAATTAGTTGGTATTGTGTCATGGGGGAGGGGAAAAGAATGTGGTCGTGCTAGTTCACCAGGTGTTTATGTTAGAATAACAACTGTTAGAACATGGATTGACAGTATTTTAAATAAGCATTGTTACTAAGGTTTTTAAAATGTAGCTTTAAGATATAGAACCTAAATTTTGAAATAGTTTATTATTTATACGTTTTTTAATAAAAAATATTATTATGAATTACAATACCGACATAATTATTTCAGAAAATTTTAGCGAAAAATTTATTGTGTAGTCAGGTGAGATTTTAATGGTTGTCTTGAATGTATTACTCACATATTTTGTGTTTGTAGTCTAAACTAGCTGTGATTTGAACGTAATAATGTTATGCATTTGATATTGACTGTAAATTATGAATCAATCTGTAAATTATGAATGACAATAAGTAATAAAAAAGTAAGGCGCGTATCATATCCATACATGATATCCATATATACTTAAAATAAAAATGTATGTGAGTTACATATAGATATAAAACACGTCTCTTGAAGTTTTTTTTTTCGATCGTGTAAAAGTGTTGAAAGAAGATATCAGGTGTATATATATGCGATGAGAGTAGTTCATTATAATTTGAGATATTGTTTCTGCAATTGTTTATTTGTTATATACCAAGGTGCATTTGTGATCACGCTTAGTGTTTTAGATTGGAATCGCTGGATAATTGCTAGGTTTGAGTATGCTGCTGTACCCCATAATTCGACTCATACCACCATATGGGTTTTAGTACAGTTTTGTATATTAGCAGCTTATTATCGAGGGACAGTCTAGAATTTCAACTGAGGAACTAAAATAAGTTTCACAATTTGAGATCTATAGCTTTAAGCTTTTTAAATATGCGTGTTCTCCAGGTAAGTTTACTATCCAGATATATTCCCAAGTATTTTGTTTTTACAGCTTGCGGTAATTGGTTATTGTTCATTAAAACAGGCGGACTGGCAGAACGTAAATTTTACCTGGACAGATTTTGATTAATTTAATTCAATACGTCAATATCCAGAGAGCAATATTGTTTAGGCAAGTTTGTAGTTTATTGAAAGCACAGATTGGATCACTGTCAACTGATTAAACAGCTGTATCGTCTGTAAATGTACTGATTACACTCTTTTCGGTAAGGGGAAAGTCCGCAATATATAAAAGATAAAGCATTGGTCCCATCATGCTATCCCTTTATGGTATTCATCACAAAGTTTTATAGTTTCATTACCATGCTTAATGAAGAAGTGCCTTGCAGAAAAGTTGATAAACTATCTATCTATTATTCTTTTTTATGGCTTCCCAAAGGGGGTTTACAGAAATTGTTGAAGCTACTTTTATCCAGAGGGATGTTATTTCTAGTACGTAATCACCATGTAAAGGCTCGGAACATAATCTATATCCTTTTTACTTACGGTGTTTACTTAGTTTTTCCAACATCCAAAAAAAAAAACGTTTAAAATCAAAGGTTTTTATAGTTGATACATCCGATAGACTCTAAACAATGCTTCAGGTGATAGATTGTTAAATTTCATACTTTAGAAAAAACGCACACTAAATAAATTACGTTTAAAAGCAAAACCTTTACTTCTCAGATAAAACTTTGGTTTGTTCATTATTTAATAAACTGTACCTAATAATACAACAATTAAAAATCAAAATCACTAAGGAAAATTTAACTATTTGTTTACCTAGTAATTTATTATATAATGATTATTTACATATTGTATATATATATTTTTTTTAACATATAAATTAGTTGATTACTTAACTTACACCTTAAACCCTGCAGACACATTTATATAAGAACTAATAAAATTATTGTAGATGACTATTGTACTTGTCATAATGTCTTCGTAATCGTTTAACAATATTGATTTATCGTTTTTTCCAACCATGGTCTCACTTTACTTAAGCTCGTGTAAACTGCAGGATAAGCAACATTAGCACATCCATAACCCCAAGATATAATTCCAATTTGCTTTCCTTGATATATCGCTGGACCGCCCGAATCACCTTGGCATGCACCTCTACCTGTAAGTGCAGCGCAAAAACTTGTTTTGCTTACTGGTACAAATAAATCACTAAACGCACGTTTACATGATGCTTTTGAAATAATTTCAACTGAGGCACGTTTCAATTGCACTGATGGAACCGTGGAGTTTTCTGTAGTCTTTCCCCAACCGAATATATTTATTTTGGTGCCCGTACTCAAAGTTGAGTAAGAGATCGGAATGGTCTTAGTTCTTCTATTCTCAATGGTTTTGTTTAACACTAAAATTGCCACGTCATAATGTTGTGAACCATTTATATTTCTATATGCGTCTGGAATAAGTACTCGGCGTACTTTAGCTAGTATACCAGTTTCTGTAAGGTTTGTCACTCCAGCTTGAACTAACATTTTATCTCTCCCAACTTTATATGCACAATGTCCTGTGGTTAGGACACATGTAGGACTTATTAGTGACCCACTACAAGAATATTTTCCATCAACGCGTAAGTTAGCCATGTAAGGAGCTCGTGTTATATTTAAAACTTGACCACCAACAATTTTACTGCCATCGTTGATATCCCGTGTATTTTGACTTAAAGTTAAGATAAGTATATTTAAAACTATTAGAATTGAAAATTTAGAAGTTAACATCTGATACATCTTGAAAGGAAAAACACAAAATCAAAATTGTTATATCAACGTTCGAAGTGTATGAATTTATAGTGTTTTAGTGTGGAATATCTTAAGCAACAATAAGGTCAAAATCGAAAAAAAAAACACTTGTGAATTGAATAAATAGTACTCGACATTGGCATCATTTTCAATTTTAACATATTTAAATTGTCATTAGAAACTGTTAGCATGCTTTCAGGATTACACAGTTCTCTATATATACGAGAGCGTAAACATGAGAATGGCTTACTCCGGCTTATTACATAGTTCGCGATATGTATGAGTCTCTACTGAGATTACTTTTGCTTAATGGCAATGTTACTGACATCTGTATCATTCCTCAATATATGTATTTTATATTTATTGTTAAAGTATTGTATAATTATTTTCTCTATATATGATATTCATATTTTAATGTTAATGTATTGTATAATTATTTCTTTGTGATTTATATAAATTTTATTGCTACATTATATAAACATTATAAAATACCCTAAAGAAGAATATAGAATATAGTCGAAATATCGGTTGAAATAAAATCTTTTAAAAAACAAAAAAATTTTTAGAAAGTGTATTATTAAACTAGTGTCCAATTAGCCTGTTTAAAAAAAAAAATTATTATTAAAAATGTTTGGTCAATAGAACAATAAATTATAACAACTAATTATTGTAATAAATAATTTACTTTGTACTTCTTAAAGACACTATATAAAACGAGACATCGACGTTAATCAATATAATTGAAATAAAATTTGATAATGTCTGCGATATTTGAAACCTACCTTTAATAACGAGAAAAAGAAATTCTATTAGATAGAAAAGTAGGGTCTACAAAATAAAGACTTAAAAATAATCAGTGATAACTTATGACTGGGAACAATATTTGATCTTTTATAAATGTTTAATTCACAAAGTATAAATACCTGAGAAAAAGAGGTTTAAAAAATATTTAGAGATCATTTTAAGATTATGTTAAAAGTTTTAACTTAAAACACAATTTGAAAGATAAATAAAGAAAAATTGATGACAAAAAATAGATATAGAAAGCAAAAATTCGTTTGAGACGTACTATTTCTAAACAAGATGTAGATGTCGATTTTAGATTAATCGTCACTTTCAGAACAAGACAAGAGCACCAAACCAAAATCTATAAGGATTTTATAAGGATAAATTTATAGTTAATTATTGGCTAATTAAATATTTTACTCATCATCTGTAGAACGGCACATTGGAAAAGATATACACGGAACAAATTACGTTTGAGTAAAAACCCTTCACTTCGCAGGATAAAATTAAAGAATATAGGTTTCCCCAGTTTTGATATTTTATTTGAAACCAAAAAAGGAAGTGCATAAGATTTATTATAGAATTCATAAACAATCTGCAGTTTCGATGTATTTTAAATATTTATTTCTTATTATAGTTTAGGCCAAAGCCTGTCTCCATCTTTTTTAAAGGTTGACCTTTCAAAAGACCTTAGTATTCAACAGCTTAGTACAAGAATGTGACACGAAGCTTATGGAATGTGCTCATGGAAATAAAGTAACACTCATGTGTGTTAAAGGATACATCGATGTTGAGCAAATTGAAAAGGCAGATGAACTTGCAAAGCAAGGATCAAGCCTTAACTTCTGCAGCCCAGAGCCCAGAATATCATTGGGTTACAACATAATTAAGCAAAATATAAGAGCAAGAGCAAGATAAGAAATTGGTGTTCTTTTTAAATGTCTATTAATTTCCTTGCTAAACTATACATAACTCTTGCAATTAAGTACTTAAAAAAAGAATTACTAATTTGGAGAAACATTTAGTAATAAAAAATTGTTGTCATTAACTACCATCGTCTTACATCTAAGCGTCTATATTTTAAAATTTAATAATATATTTTTGTTTTTAGGTTTACGTGAACAAAGTTTACACGTTAAATAGAAAAGTAGAAATCTGACTTCAGCCTTCAAGTGCAACGAATTACAACAATAGATTTACGTTATCATTAAATTATGTAAAATATTTGAGTTTTTGAGTTTGTAAATCAGCTGCTATCGTAATTATTTTTGATTAAAATTTACAATCGTTATTTTTATTTCATGTACATATAATAGAAATTTCTAGAAAATAGATAGAAAAGTATACTATACAACGATTTATTATTTTTATTTATTTATTAATGATAGTTTAGTTTATAAAAACTAATACTATTATGTATAGATATAGCTTTGACTGCTGAGGCCTGCAGCTTTGTGTTATTACAAATTATTAGTAAATGCTTATAATTATATAGTATACTATACAACGATAATGACTTCTTTTTAAGTATTATAAATCTTTAATTCAATTTTAGAGACGTATACAATAATGTCAGAAAATATTTAATTACTATCAGAGCTATTACAACTCTCTAATAATGTACTCAAATATATATTAAATACACACCTATATTATACTCTTTATA